CCCCCCAAAAAAAACACACAAAAAAAACAACAACAACCAAACCCAGACGCATCTCATTTTACAGTATTCCTCAGACTTTCTGAAGAGCATGCGCTCATGGTGGGCAGAAGTCAGACACATGAAAAGCACCCTTTACATTTACACACAAGAAGCTGCCAACAATGGCAACCATTTCAGGAAAACACTTAGCAGTAATAATATCTATAGTTTGCATTTATACAGCACTCTGTTTCAAACAATAGAGATCGATTGTATTTATATAGCACTCTATTCCAAACAATAATGATAGATTGCATTTATATCGCACTCTGTTTCAAACAATAATGATAGATTGCATTTATATAGCACTCTGTTTCAAACAATAATGACATATTGCATTTATATAGCACTTTTTTCCAAGCAATAATGATAGATTGCATTTATGCAGCACTTTTTTCCAAACAATAATGATAGATTGCATTTATATAGCACTCTATTCCAAACAATAATGATAGATTGCATTTATATAGCACTGTATTCCAAACATTAATGATAGACTGCATTTATATAGCACTCTTTGCCAAACAATAGCAATCGATTGCAGTTATATAGCACCCTATTCCAAACAATAATGATAGATTGCATTTATGTAGCACTCTGTTCTAAACAATAATGATACATTGCATTTATATAGCACTCTATTCCAAACAATAATGATAGATTGCATTTACTGTACTTGCAGTTGCAGGCCTCCAAGAGTAAAGCGTACGAAAACAAAGAGCACTATAATCCTATTCTTGATGAAGGTAACAGAGAGTGTAGGTACTACCATTGGAAGATACCACCAGCGCTTCATGAGTAGTCACTAAACGAATCATCAACGCTTTGACATACCTTAAGCAGGTGATTCTGTTTAAGAAAGGCTGAATATATGGCATGTCGTAAGTGGAACTTAAACTGTCTCCGTTGTCCTTAGCTGCGTCCCAAGTCTTGAGCCCCCTCTCTTCACGAGTGCCTGTGGAAAATAATATGGACATGACTGTATTGATTAAGGAGACAAATAAACATTGGCGAGAGAAAATAACTAAATCATTAGAGGAGATTGTGTTATTAAAGGACATGAGTGTCGTGGGTCGACACGATCACGTATACACTATCGCACCACGTTCTCATCGTATAAGAATACCCCCCC